CCGGTTACTGTTATAACCCAGTAATTCTCCATATGCTAGAAGAAGGAACCTCTCCTGGGTTCCTTGAACCCGAGTTGTTTTTGCAAAAATTCTTGAAGAAAAAATATACATCAATCATGACCACAAGGGTATTGACCACGAGCTTAACTAATCAGAAGATGCCAGACGGGGCAATGAGACATTCAAGGCTAGGGTCTAATAAATGTTAAAAAATATAAAATAAACAACTTATACAGTTACTAACTGCTGATATCTGCTTCTGTACACGTAGCTTGCTTGCTCTGCTAAACTCTTGAGTAACCCCTGTCCTATATAAGCAACCCTCCCCCTGAGCTCGGGGCTGCAGTTCTCCTCTGTGTAGGTTGGCTGCAGTCCCTGCGCAGGTAATAAAGCTCCTAATATTCAAAATTATTTGATGTCTGAGTGAGGATGACTCTCCTGGGTTACAACGTTACCTACAAAGGAAACCCCATAAGGCTCTCAGCTGACTTCTCAACAGAAACACTACAGGCCTGAAGGGAATGGCATGAAGTAATGATGGTCATGAAAAACGAGGATCTGAATCCAAGACTACTCTACCCAGCAAGGCTATCATTCAAAATAGAAGGTCAAATAAAGAGCTTCCCAGACAAAAAAAAAAAGGCTAAGGGACTATATTAGCACCAAACCAGCACTGCAAGAAACGTTAAAAGGACTGCTGTAATTAGTAGAACAAATAGGGAGAAAAATGTAACTGCAATAAACAAAAATGGCAATAATTAAGTACATATCAATAATAACTTTAATGTAAATGGATTGAACGCTCCTATCAAAAGACACAGAGTGGCTGATTGGATAAGAAAGCATGACTTGTATTTATGTTGTTAACAAGAGACCCACCTCACAACAAAAGACTCACAAAGGTTGAAAGTGAAGGGATGGAAAAAATCTTCCAAGCAAACAAAAAGGGAATAAAAGCTACGGTAGCAATACTCATATCTATTCAAATAGATTTCAAAATGAAGGTCATAACTAGAGACAAAGAAGGACACTACATAATATTTAAAGGATCTATCCAACAGGAGGATATAAACAGCCTGTACTGGCACCAGAACAGGCCTATGGATCAATGGAACAGAACAGAGAACCCAGAAATTGACCCAAGACATTATGCTCAATTAATATTTGACAAAGGTGGCAAGAGCAAAGCTGTAGTACATATACACAATGAAATACTATGCAACTGTAAGAAAGAAAGATCTCTTGTCCTTTGACATGACATGGAGGGACCTGGAGTGTATTATGCTAAGTGAAATAATCCAGAGAAAGACAAATATCATATGATCTCACTTATTTGTGAAATATAATGAACAAAATAAGATAATGAACAAAACAGACCCAGAGACATAGAAGTAGGGTTCATACTGACAAACTTTAGAGGAGGGGATAGGGGATGGAGGGGAGGGAAGAGATAAACCAAAGAACTTATGCTCAAAAGCATAACCAATGGACATAGACAACAGTGCTGGGGGCGGAGGCAGGAACAGGAGTAGAGTGTCAATTGGAAAAAAAGGAGAAACATCTATAACAAAAATAATTTATAAAATATGTATGACTGGGTCTTCTACAAATATGAAATATGAAATAAAACCACACACATTATTTAGTCTTATATGTGGAGATCATTCTGAAATCTGTGACATACCATATTTTATTTATCTCAAAGCTTTGGGTTTAGTACAAGGTGTTTATTTTAGTAGTTTTAGTCAGTGAACTCAAATACAGTTATCAGTCTCATAGCACAGTGTTTAGACAATTAGAGAGCTGTTGGGTAATTTCTCAAATCTTCTACATTGAGAATGAAATGAATTCATGTCATCCCTTATCACTTAACAGTATTTCTTAAACTTCAGTTCAGATACCACCCTCATGATTTTTGCCAGACTTCGTGCTAACAGGTACTGTTTTAAGTTTTTAAAGTCTATCATTAAAAACTTCTTTAAATCTTAAGCAGAAACATCCATAAAATCATGTACCTAAAATAGTATTTTTTTCTGAAACATTAAAATAAATATATAACCATTAAAACTCTTTTCTTGCCCTGGCCAGTTTGGCTCAGCAGTTAGAGCGTTGGCCTGCGGTCCAAGAGACCCGGGTTCGGTACCCGCTAAGGGCATGTACCTCGGTTGCGGTTTGTCCCCGGCCCTGGTTGGTCGTGCGGGTGGCAGCCACTCGATGTGTCCCTTTCACATCGATGTTTCTCTCTCTCTCTCTCTTCCTCTCTCTCCCTCCCACTCTATCTGTACAAAAAGATGGAAAAATGTCCTCGGGTGAGGATAAAAAAAAACAAAAACAACCTTTTCTTGTTCCCCCATGCATTACTAAGTGGTTTCACCCTGACCTGGTAGATTGGGAATGTGAGACCTTCCTTGGGAAGCTGATTGCATTCTTCTCACTATACCTCTAATTTGGGAGATTCAGTTGTAATATGGGTAGTTAAGAGGGATGAAAGATCTGTGCAATTTTAACTTCGTGCTAACTACTATAACAATGTGAAAATTCCACAGGAAGGGTATAAAATAAGATACACTATAGAATAAGATTTTTTAAAATATACTTCAAGACCATGTTTAAGCACTACCTTTTTTCTTGAATAGGAATTAATCATTTAGCCCAGTCATTTCCTCCTTTGCATTCTGAAAAACTTTTAAATTACTCTCCTATGTGTGGCAGCCTACCACTTTCTACACCTCCTTGTAAAAAATGTATTTGAAGACTAGCTGTTATAATGTGGTAAAAACTTGCTGCTTGTGCCCTTTTGTCTTCTTCAGCATACCTCCTTCCCCAAATACGTATTTGTTCTAGCTACTTAATACCTGGAAACATAATACAAAATTAAAACATGTGTTGTCAAATTTTCTATTAGAAATTTTATGTAAAATGATAAATTGATTGATGGACAGATATATCTGCCTTCTTCCTTCTTTTTTCATTTCCTGCATCCTTTCTAGCTTACCCAAACCCTTCTAGTTCACAAGGGCATATTTTCTGGCCTTCTTGATCTCTCAAAATAAGCAGAAATTGTAAATATTAAATCAGATATATATAATGAATAATTTACATGATTTTTAAAAATAATGTCATAGTAGGTTCTACTAGAATACATTTATATACTTAATGTTTCCTGGAAATCCACTTCTTTTTGTTTTTGTGTTTGGAAATCCACTTCTTAAACTTCAAGCATATAAATATTATATGTTGCAGGGGAACTACTACATTCTTATATTTTATTATAACTTCAGTTACAATGCTTTCCCCTTGTAAAGGGGCATTAATCATGTCTTTTTCACTTTAGTGCTTAGTGTACTCTTTACCCTCAACTACAGGAGTTGCACAGACTGTTCCATGTGCACAAATCTATTCATGGTGCTATAACTGCTTTTTCTCATTTTTAAATACTCTAATTTGGTAGTTAGTTAGTAACCTTAGATGTTTAACACATCATATGAAATACTGAAAAGTAGTTCCACTTGCTTTGGAAGATTACAGACTATAGTACAAAAAAGTGCCTTTTAAACTCAGTACTAACCAAGATTCTAGTTTCTGCCACACACTAGGTGTGTGATTCTGGCTAAATCACTCTGAGCCTCAACTTACTTACTAATGTAGATACAAATCAGTGTTATTAATTGCTGACATTCATGGTGCATTGTCTTTATTACACACAGTATTAAGTATTTTAATGCAATTAACTTATTTAATCCTTATAGGCTCATGTCTGTTGTTAGCCCATTTTATAATGAGGAAACAAGAGGTTAGGTAACTAGCAGCAGAACTTGACTTTGAACCAGAACCATCTGCATCTTCCTGTACTGTGTACTCTATACTTTGTGCTCTGTACTCTGTGCTGTGCTCTGTATACTGCATTACTTTAATTTGTTACATTGCTTTCCCATACAGATTTGAATAAACTAAGTCAGCTTTATCCGAGGGAATGGATCCCAGATTCTTTGTGTTTGTGTTTATATGAATATAGATTATTATGTATTTTAAATCAAACCATTTTCATACCTTACAGCCATACACTTAATAAGGCTTCATGCAGCCTGGCCAGTGTGACCCAGTGGATTGAGTGTCATCCCATGGATTAAGAGGTCCTGGTTTGAATCCCGGTCAGGGCACATGCTGCCTGGGTTGCTGGCTTGATCCCCTGTGGGGGGCGATTAGGAGGCAGCTGATTGATGTTTCTCACATCGATGTTTCTATCTCTCCCTCTCTGTCTAAAAATCAATAAGATATTTTAAAAATAATGCTTTGTGCATGTCATCACTTTGATCCACCTATCACTGGCTCTTTTTTTTATTTTATTCTCACCCGAGGACACCTTTCCATTTTTTGTTCAGATGGAGTGGGAGAGAGGGAGGGAAGGAGGGAGGGAGGGAGGGAGGGAGGGGGAGAGAGAGAGAGAGAGAGAGAGAGAGAGAGAGAGAGAGAGAGAGAGAGAAACATCGATGCAAAAGGGACATATCGAGTGGCTGCCTCCTGCACGACCAACCAGGGCTGGGGACAAACTGCTACCGAGGTACGCGCCCTTAGAGCGAACCAAACCCGGGTCTCTCTGGACCGCAGGCCAACACTCTAACTGCTGAGCCAGACTGGCCAGGGCTATCACTGTCTCTTTAGAGTCTATAAAGTAACCTAGCCTCTCTGTGCCTCTTGAAAATAAAGAAGTTGGAGTCAGTCATCTGTAGAATTTCTTCCAGCTCTAAATTTTAATATATAAATGTGAATGTATAATTAGTCACTGAAAGGTTTTCTTTAATTGAATCTGGCAGTTACTATCTAACAAAAATGTCTTGTGTATATAGATGTTATTATATTAAGCCTCTGTGTTGTATTTGCATGACATGGAAATGCTGTCACCTGGTGTGTGTTTCCGAGTAAAGGTACCTGGAAAAGTGCGTTTCGTCCACTGATTCCCTTTCTTGACACAAGGTGAGCTTTCTTCTTTCTTTTACCAGATGTAACTACCCCTGAATCTCCCAAGAACATTGCAGAATCATCAGTTGTGAATGGAGGTTTAACATCACAAACGAAAGAAAATGGGTTAAATGCTGCGCAGCAGGTGTCTGTTCAGCGGAAGAAGCTCCTCAAAGCTCCAACTCTGGCTGAACTGGACAGTTCTGACTCTGAGGTGAGGTCCCGTGAGGTCCTGTTCACAAATCTGGACTCAGAGTTTGGGATGCTAACACTCTCTTAGTTTACTAATCATGTTGCTTCAATTATTACTTAATCCCTTCCCATTTTTCAAATAATAAAGGTAGGTTTAAAATTCATTTGTTTAGCGGGAAATAAAACAGTTGATTACTGCCCTGGCCAGTTTGGCTCAGCGGTTAGAGCATCAGCCTGGGGACCAGAGAGTCTGGGGTTCAGTTCCCTCTAAGGGCATGTACCTTGGTTGCAGTTTGTCCCCAGCCCCAGTTGGGGTTGTGTGGGTGGCGACCACTCAGTGTGTCTTTCTCATATCAATGTTTCTCTCTCTCTCTTCCCCCTCTCTCCCTCCTGCTCTATCTGAAAATAAATGCAAAAACAAACAAACAAAAAAAAAACAGTGGATTTTTTACTGTCACTTAGTAAAGACCAGTATAATGACCACAATATATGGAATATGTTTTGAAATATTGATATAGTCTTAGATTATGGTGGGGTTAAAAATAAGTCAACAATTTTCAAACTTACATTATCTTACATACCTTTTATTTGAAGGAAGGAAAAAGAAAAAAATATTTCCATTAAAAACACCTAATTCTTTAGTATAATCACCTATTCATTTTTTCTCTCTAAAATGCACATACAGACATCCATACTGAAGGTTGTCTTTCCTGAAATATTAATAACAACAAACAGGCCTCTGGAAGAAAACTGTGTTGGTGTTCTCCAGGTTTCATCTTTCACACACTGCCTCCAGGGTAAAATCTAACATCCTTGTTTTCAAGAAACAGGAAGGCCCTAGTAGCATGGCTCAGTGGTTAAAGTGTCAGCCCAAGCACCAGAGGGTCACAGGTTTGATGCTTCCCAAATCTCTCTCAATCCTTCATCTGCAGCATCAGTATTGTATATCTCCACTGCTCGATCCTTAAAATCAACTTATGTAAAATAAAATTATATTCTTGCCCCCCCTTTCCTACTCCCTCTCCCCCTGCAACACCAACACACACAGCTAGTTTCTCATTTTCTGTTTGCTCTCTTGGTTACTGGCTCCATCCTTTCCACATTCATCCAAGATAGAATTTAAGCAGTTATTCTTTAATTTCCATCTTATCAGTTTTCACCTCTAATACAAAGAATACCAATAATAACAGTTTTGTTACTAAATGTTTTTCAAACATTAAGAATAATAAAGAAATATCCTTACTACTGCCTGACTTCAGTACCCACTGTCACACGTGCTATCTCTCTCTCATCGGCCCTATCTTACTTTTCTTCTTCCTAGCCTCCCCAATTCCATCTTACACACACCACCAGAGCCTTTGTCACTCCTGCTTGACACCTTTTCAAGGCTCCTCACCACTTACAGGATTAACTTCATGTCTCCAAGTAACCTTGGTGATCTAATGCCTGCGACACCACTCCCTGCCTCAGTCTACACTTCAGCCATACTCAGTCATTTGTTTTTTCCTGCACATTCCCTCCTTCCTCAGCTCAGTACTTAGTCATGTCTACAGTCTACTCTCAATCCTAACTCTTGTTTATGCTTTAACACTCAGCATGTACCTCGCCTTCTCTTTTCTGTGACACCACTAACCCATTGGGACTCCCTTCTCTGTGATTCCATAACTTTTCTTTCTCTCTGTTATGTTAAGGCACTTAACACTGTACTATCATAATCCATATATTTCTCTCTCTCCCACTAGAGGGAAAGCTCCCTGAGAGTAGGGACTGTGCTGAATTCACTTTATATCCCCAGTTCCTAACACCCAGTTCACACTCACATGTTTAGATAAATGTATACTAACCTGTGAGAACAACAATTTAAATTAAGAGTGTCTAGCTCTATACTGTTCAGTATAGTAGCCACTAATCAGTGTGACTGTTGAAATTTAATATATATCAAAATTAAATAAATTTAAAATTTTTCAGTTATAATTTTCAAGTGCTCAGTAGCCACATATGGCTAGTGCTGACCACACTGGATGGCATAGAACACAGAGCCACCCTCATGGGAGCACCGTTGGACAGCAGTGCTCCACAGGACAGGGAGTGCTTCTCCTTCACACCCACTGAACTACTTTAAACTCCTTTCCTGGTCCTCCTCCTCACCTCTTGAAGAAAGACTACACACCTGGCCATCATAAGATAAATGGTGGCCTCTACAATCTTCTTAGTTATCCTTTTTTTAAAGATATATCACTAGAATCCCAAATCCAAATCTTTTTTTTCCCTTTTTTATTTATTTATGTTACAGATATTTCTCCGTTTTCCCCCATTGACTCTCTCCTCTTGATACCAGTGCCCCCAGCATTGTTGTCTATGTCCATTGGTTGCACATGCATGTATATAACTTCTGTGGTTTATCTCTTCCCTATCCCCATTACCCTCTTCTAAGATTTGTCTGTCTGTACCTTACTTTTATATCTCTGGGTCTATTTTGTTCATCAGCATGTATTGTTCATTATATTCCACAAATAAGTGAGATCATGTTATATTTGTCTTTCTCTTACTGGCTTGTTTCACTCAGCATAATACTCTCCAGGTCCTTCCATGTCGTGTCAAAGGATAAGAGATCTTTCTTTCTTACAACTGCATAGTATTCCATTGTGTATATGTACCACAGCTTTGTTCTTGCTACCTTTGTCAAATATTAATTGAGCATAATGTCTTGGGTCCATTTCCGGGTTCTTCGTTCTGTTCCATTGATCTATATGCCTGTTCTGTGTCAGTACCGGACTGTTTTGATTACATTGGCTTTAACCTGATATCTGGTATAACCTGATATCTGGTATTGTGATCCCTCCTGCTTTGTACTTCTTTTTCAAGATTGCTATGGCTCTTCAGGGTCTTTTTTGGTTCCATATGAACTTTTGGAGTGTTTCTTCTAGTTCCATGACATATGTCATTGGTGTATCGATGGGGATTGCATTGAATCTATAGATTGCTTTGGGTAGTATGGACATTTTAATGATGTTAATTATTCCTATCCATGAACAACATATATGCTTCCACTTTTTTATATCGTCCTCTATTTCTTTTTTCAATGTCCTGTGGTTTTCTCCGAACAGGTCCTATAGTTCTTTAGTTAAGTGTATTCCTAGATATCTTCATTATTTTTACTGCAATGGTAAATGGGATTGTTTTTTTAGTTTCTCTTTCTGTGAGTTCATTATTGGTGTATAAGAATGTCGTCGATTTCTTGATGTTGATTTTGTACCTTGCTACTTTGCCATATTGGTTTATTAAATCTAGTAGATTTTTGATGGAGTTTTTAGGATTTTCTATATACAGTATCATGTCATCTGCAAATAATGACAGTTTGACTTCCTCCTTTCCAGTTTGGATTCCTTTTATTTTTCCTTCTTGTCTAATTGCTGTTGCTAAGACTTGTAGTACTATGTTAAATAAGAGTAGCGAAAGTGGGCATCCCTGTCTTGTTCCTGTTCTTAAGGGAAATGCTTTTAGTTTTTATCCATTGAGAATGATGTTGGCTGTAGGTTTTTTATATATGGCCTTTATTATGTCAAGATATGATTCCTTATTTGCACATTGCTGAGCGTTTTTATCAGAAATGGGTGCTGGATTTTGTCGAATACTTTTTCAGAGTCTATTGATATGATCATATGGTTTTTATCTTTCATTTTATTTATGTGGTGTATCACATTTATTGATTTGCTACTAGTGTACCATCTTTGCATCCCTGGCATGAATTCCACTTGGTCATGATGAATAATTTTTTTGTTGTATTGCTGGATCTGATTTGCTAATATTTTGTTAAAGAATTTGGGATCTATGTTCATCAGGGATATTGGCTTGTAGTTTTATTTCTTTATGGGGTCTTTATCTGGTTTTGGAATTAGAATTATGCTAGTCTCATGAAATGAGTTTAGAAGTCTTTCTTCTTCTTGGATTTTTTTTTGGAATCGTTTGAGGAGAACAGCTGTTAGGTCTTCTTTAAATGTTCGGTAAAACCCCCCCATGAAGCCATCCAGGTCTGGGCTTTTGTTTGCTGGGAGATTTTTTATTACATTTTCAATTTCCTTCGTTGTTATTGGTGTTCTTGGTTCAGTTTTGGGAGACTGTGTCTTTGTCCATTTCACCTAGATTGTCAAATTTGTTGGCATATAATTGTTCATAGTATTTTTTAACCACCCTTTGTATTTCTGTGGTATCACTTGTTAGTTTTCCCCTTTCATTTCTGATTTTGTTTATTTGGTCCTCTCTGTTTCTTGGTGAGTCTAGCTAAGGGTCCATCAATCTTGTTTATTTTTTTCAAAGAACTAGCTCTTTGTTTCATTGATCTTTTGAATTGTTTTCTTAGTCTCTGTGTTGTTTATTTCTGCTCTGACATTTACTATTTCTTTTTTTCTACTTGCTCTGGGGGTTGTTTTTTTGTTCTTGTTTACTTTCTACTTCTTTAAGTTGTAGGGTTAGGAATTTTTCTTGCTTCTTGAGGTAGGCCCGTAGTGCTATGAACTTCCCTCTCAGGACTGCTTTCGCTGCATCTCATAGATTTTGTGTTGCTGTGTGTTCATTTTTATTAGTTTCCAGGAAGTTTTTAATGTCTTCTTTGATCTCCTTGATAACCCATTTGTTGTTTATTAACATGCTATGTAGCCTCCGTGTGTTTGACTGTTTTTGCATGTTTTTGTTGTAATTGATTTCTAGTTTCATGCCATTGTGATCTGAGAAGATGCTTGATATGATTTCAGTCTTCTTGAACTAGTAGAGACTTCATTTGTGTCCGAATATGTGGTCTGTCTTTGATATTGTCTCATGTGCACTTGAGAAGAATGTGAATTCTGAAGTTTTAGGATATAATTTTCTGTAGACCTATTAAATCCTTTTGACCTAGTGCATCATTTAGAGTCTGTGTATCCTTGTTAAGTTTTTGTCTAGAGGATCTATCCAGTGATGTCAGTGGGGTGTTTATTTCCCCTGCTATGATTGTATTGCTGTCAAATTCTCCTTTGTAGTCCTCCAGAAGTTTTTAAATATATTTTGGTGCTCCTGTATTGGGTTCACATATGTTTATAAAGGTTATATCCTCCTGTTGGATTGATCTTTTTAGTATTATGTAATGCCCTTCTTTGTCTCTAGTTATGGCCTTCATTTTGAAGTCTGTTTTATCAGATATGAGTAATGCTATTCCAGCTTTTTTGTTTTTTCATTTTCTTTTGCTTGGTAAAATGGTTTCCATCCCCTCGCTTTCAACTTGTGTGACTAATTTATTGTGTGGTGGGTCTCTTGAATACAACATATATATGGGTCATGCTTTATTATCCATGAAAATGAAAACAAACAAAAAAGCGGGGTAGCCATACTTTTTCCAGACAAAATAGACTTTAAAACAAAGGCTATAAGAAGAGTCAGAGAATTATTCAGCCATTCCACTTCTGGGTATATATCTGAAGAAACCCAAAACACTGATTTAAAAAGACATATGCACCCACATGTTCATTGCAGCATTATTTACAACAAACCAGATATGTAAGCAAAGTAAGTATCCCTCAGTAGATGAATGGATGAAGAAGTTATATATCTGTACAATGGAATACGACTCAGCCATAAAAATGAATGAAATCTTGCCATCTGCAACAATGTGGATGGACCTAGAGGGTATTGTGCTTAGGGAAATAAGTCAGACAGAGAAAGATAAAATATGATTTTACTTATATGTGGAATCAAACAAACAAAGTAAATGAACAAACAAAAAGGGAAAATCAAGCTCTTAGATATAGAGAACATTTTAATCGTTGCCAGGTGGGAGAGTGGTTTGGGGCTGGGTGAAAAAGGTGAGAGAATTTAGAAGAAAAAATGACAGTTACAAAATAGTCACAGGTCTGTAAAGTATAGCCTAGAGAATATAGTCAGTAATATTGTAATAACTATGTACAGTGCTTGGTGGGTACTAGAATTATTGGGGTGATCACTTCATAAGTTATATAATGTGTAATTACTGTGTTATACACCTGAAGCTAATATAATATTGTATGTCAACTGGAACTGAAAAATAACATTTTATTTTATTTTATTTTATTTTATTTTATTTTATTTTTTATTTTTTTTTTTTTGAAATTTTTATTTATTTATTTATTTTTTTGTTACAGATATTTTACCTTTTTACCCCATTGGCACCCCCCACCCCACCCCCCCTCCACCCTGTCCCCGGCTTAGTTGTCCATGTCCATTGGTCATGCATACATGCATATAAGTTCTGTGGTTTATCTCTTCCCACCCCCCCACCCCCCATCCCCTCTTCTGAGGGATGTCAGTCTGTGCCCCACTTCCATGTGTCTGGGTCTACTGTATTCCTCAGACTGTTATGTTCATTATATTCCGTATATAAGTGAGATCATGTGGTATTTGTCCTTCTCTGCTTGGCTTCTTTCACTTAGGATAATACTTTCCAGGTCCCTCCATGTCGTCTCAAAGGATAAGAGATCTTTCTTTCTTACCGCTGCATAGTATTCCATTGTGTATATGTACCACAGCTTTTTGATCCATTCGTCTACTGGTGGACACTTGGGCTGTTTCCAGATCTTAGCTATTGTAAATAGTGCTGCTATGAACATGGGGGTACATATATTCTTCCTGATTGGTGTTTCAGGCTTCCTAGGGTATATTCCCAGCAGTGGGATCACTGGGTCAAATGGAATAACATTTTATTTTAAATAAAACAAATGATGAAACTAAGAAACTTGCAAAATGTCACATCATTCTAATAAGGGATAAAGCCAGGACACAAACCCAGACATAGCTAATTTTAGATCTCTTTTAGTGTGTCTTCTAGTTTCTTTGATTCTTTACATTATAATTTGGTGTCTCATATTAAAATAAATACTTAATAGTAAATGTTATTTATTAGCGAGGGAGCAGTAATAGTAAAATGTTGCTAATTAGTCTAAGGAATCTCACTATTTCTCTGTTTACTCCTTTTTCAGGAAGAGACTCTGCACAAGTCAGCCAGCAGCAGCAGTGTGTCTCCCTCCTTCCTTGAAGATTCTTTACTGGAGGCCGTGTCCCCAAGGAAGAGTGAGTATTCATAGCACAAAGAACTAGCATCAGATACCTTAAAAAATACACTTGTCCTAGAATAGGGGGTCCCAAAGTGACCTGTGATTATTCAGGGTATAAAGAACTAAGCCTAGAATTTCACTAGTCAGGAACAGAAATATTTAGCTGTCTTCCTGGAGTGACATCACAAGATAAGGCTAAACTAATAATGGGCCTCAGGTTCTTAACTTAGATCAGTCACCTTTGGGTTTACAGATAATAGTTGTAGGAAATACGTCAACTGTGTGTGTGTTTTTTTAGATTAATTACCTCCTTGTCTGAATTTAAGCAAGAAGTCCAATAATCATACTTGTCATTACCCCTCCCACACACATATAAACATATCCATACCCACACATAACATGTGTAGGTAGTAAAAACACTTTATAACTTTAGAATATAAAGTTAAGTGATGTCTAAATGATTTTATTACACTTTTATTTATACGATTATTATAAAGGATTAAAATTTTTATATTAAGGGAAAAGATTCTGGGAAGGTGGTGGAGTAGATAGTACCAGGCATCTATATCCCCACCTAGACAACAATTGCACTGGCAGACTTTGTCTGGTCTTAACTATTTTGGAACTCCATAGTCTGTTAAAGGCTTACAGCTTCCAGAGGAAGACTTGGATAGTAAATTGTGGTTCATTTCAGTCAGCTATTAGCATAGAAGCAGCTACTTATTCCCAACACCCAGAAACTGGCAGACAGTTGTGTACTGTTTTGGAGTAGCTTACACAGCTTGCAGGAGCCAGGGTGGACCAAAAGGACCCTGTCTTCCAAATACTGTGCTCTGATTGCTGCTTTTGACTTCAAAGGTGGGCATCCATTGTTGCATTTTTGCTAGCTACCCTCTACTCTAGCAGAAGGGACTTCCAGAGCATTTAAAGGACTGGCACCCTCTTCTTTCATTTATTGTTTTTTCCCCTTTTGGCAGCCAGACATTATAGACTAGGTCCTTCAAAAGCAACTGCATATCAGGGAAAATTAAAGAGTGACTACTCATGCCCAGGATATGGCTCATAAAAGTCCTAAGAAGAAGATCTTACATTTACATTTCAGTCTATTCCTTAGCACAGAGACATCCTACAACAATTAAAAATAAAATATGAACAAAAACAATAACAAAAAAGAGCAAACCCTGGGGAAGAGAGATAATCTCATTTCTAGAGTTACCATATTATTAGATTTAGATGTCCAGTGTTTAGCAAAAAATTACAAGGCATATACAGAAGCAGAAAAGTATGGTTCATTCAGAGAAAACAAATAAAGCAACATAAACTATCTCAGAAAAATGACCTGATGACAATTATACTAGACAATTGTTTTAAAGATACTTAAAGCAATAAAAATGTGGAGAAATTTAAGAAAATGGTGTGTGAACAAAATGGAAATATCAATAGTGATAGAAATCCCAAAAGGAAATTTTGGAGCTGAAAATTACAATAATTGAAATAAAAATTTCACTGGAGATTAAAAAGACATTTAAGTAGTGAAGAAAGAATCACCAAACTTGAAGATAGGATAATGGAAATTATTGAGTCTGGGGAACCAAAAGACAAAAGATTGAAGAAAACCAAACAGAGATTAAGGGACCTGTGGGACACCATAAAACAGACCAACATAATTATTGTGAGTCCCCAGAGAAGAGAAAGGGGCTCAAAGAATGTGTGGAAATAATGGCTGAAACTTCCCAATTTTGATGAAAGCCATGAATATAAATGTCCAAGAAGTTCAACTAAAGAACTCAGACCCACAGCAAAACACATTATAATCAAACTTTCAAAAGACAAAGAGAATATCTTGAAAGCAAAAGGGAGAAGTGAGTCATCACATATGAGGATCCCCAATAAGATTATCATCAGATTTCTCAGAAAATTTGGAAACCAGAAGAAAGTTGAGCAATATATTTAAAGTGCTAAAAGAAACAACAACAACAATAAATCAATGTCTCTGGCTGGCTTTGCTCAGTGGTTAGAGTGTCATGGGTTCGATTCCCAGTCACAGGCACATACCTGGGTTGCAGGTTCAATCCTTCCCGGTCAGGGTCATGTGGGAGGCAACTAATCTGTGTGTATCTCTCACATCAGTGCTTCTCTCTCATCTTCAATGAATCCTATATCTAGCAAAACTGTTCTTCAAAGGTTAAGGAGAAATCAAAATAGTCCCAGAGAAGCTCAGCAAATTTGTGACCACTACACTTTCCCTGCAAGAAGTGCTCAGTGGAGTCCTTCAGGGTGAAATGAAAGGACACTAGACAGTAACTTGAAGCCATATAGAGAAATAAAGATCAATAAATGTAAATATATATGCAGTTATAAAAGTTAATATTGCCCTGGCCGGTTTGGCTCAGCGGTTAGAGCGTCGGCCTGCGGTCCGGAGAGACCCGGGTTCGGTTCCCGCTAAGGGCACGTACCTCGGTTGCAGTTTGTCCCCGGCCCTGGTCGGTCGTGAGGGTGGCAACCACTCGATGTGTCCCTTTCACATCGATGTTTCTCTCTCTCTCTCAGTTCCTCTCTCTCCCTCCCACTCTACCTGAACAAAAAATGGAAAAATGTCCTCGGGTGAGGATAAAAAAATAAAAATAATTAAAAGTTAATATTATTGTCCCAATGGTTTGTAACTGAACTTTTTCTTTTCTACATGATTTAAGAGACAAGTACATTTGAACAAAAACAAATATTGATATAAAAGCTGGTATTACTGTAATTTTGTTTTGTAACTCCAAATCTTATTTTCTACATAATTTGAGAGGCTAATGCATTTTTAAAAAATATTTTTCTATGTTATGGGGCAGAAAATTTATAAGGATGTAATTTTGTGACACCAAGAAACCAAAAGTGCTGGGGATAGAGCTGTATAGGAGCAGAGTTTTTGTGTGTTATTGTTAAATTGGTGTAAATTTTTTTTTTTTTAATAACATAATTTTTTTTTTTTTACTCTTTTTTTATTTTTATTTTATTTTTTTATCCTCACCTGAGGACATCTTTCGATATTTTGTTCAGATAGAATGGGAGAAAGAGAGAGAGAGAAACATCGACGCGAAAGGGACACATCGAGTGGTTGCCACCCGCACGACCAACCAGGGCCGGGGACAAACTGCAACCGAGGCACGTGCCCCCAGCGGGAACCGAACCTGGGTCTCTCCAGACCGCAGGCCAACACTCCAACCGCTGAGCCAAACCGGCCAGGGCAAATTGGTGTAAATTTTAATTTTAATTAGAATGTTAAAACTTTAGGATGTTTAATGTAATTCCCATGGTAACCACAAAGAAAATAACTACAGAATATACACAAAAGAAATAGGAAAACAACTTAAACATTTCACTACAAACTCATGTAAATACAAAAGAAGGCAGGAATGCAGGAAATGAGGACCAAAAATCTATAAGGCATATTAAAAAAATAAATAGTACAGTGACAGAAGTAAGTTCAGAGAGTAGCATAAAGGATAAAACACATGATCCAACTATATGCTGTCTATAAGAGACTTCCTTGAGATCCAAAGACATAAACAGATTGATTGAAAGTGAAAGGATGGAAATAGTAACCAAGAGAGAGCTGGGATGGCTAAAAATGAGATAAAATAGACTTTAAATTAAGAAGAAAACAGTTATAAAAGACAAGAGGACATTGTATATTAAAATATTCAGTACAAGAGCCCTGGCCAGTTTGGCTCTGCGGTTAGAGCATTGGCCTGCAGACCAATGAGCCACGGGTTCAATTCCGGTCAAGGGCACGTACTTCAGTTGCAGTTTATCCCTGGCCCTGATTGGGATTGTGCAGTAAGCAACCAGTCAAAGTGTCTCTGTCACATCGATGTATCTCTCCCCCCACCCACTTTCTCTCAAGATGAATAGAAAAAAAAAAAAAAATGTCCTCGGGTGAGGATTGAAAAACATACATATATTCAATACAACAAAGACATAATAACTTGCCCACTTAATGGCAAACAATCAAAATATATGAAGCAAAAAACAACAGAATTGAAAAGAAAAATACACAGTTCTACTCTGATGATTGGAGGCTTCAGTACGCCACTCACAATAATGGATAAAACAACTGAACAGAAGTAAAGAATTAGAGGACTTAAACAACACAATAAAGCAATAAAACATAACAGACATATACAGAACATTGTATCCAACAACAGGATACTCATTCTTCTTAAGTGCACATGGAACATTTTTCAGGATAGATCATGTTAGGCCACAAAATAAGTCTCTGTAAATTTTAAAAGACAGATAGCATACACAGTATCTTCTCTGGCCACAACGGGGTGAAGTTAAAAATCACTAATTGAGAAAAACTGAAAATTTCACAAAATTGTGAAAACACACTTTTTAAAAAGCAGTGGGTCAAGAAGAAATTACCAGGGAATTTAGAAATACTTACAAACCAATGAATATGAAATCACAACATACCAAAACATATGGGACACCGTGGAAGCAGTTCTACGAGGCAATTTATTGCTATAAACACTTATATTAAAAAACATGAAGTTTTGAGTTCCAATCCTGATGGTGATATAGGTGAATGTGGTACTTGAATCCTCCTATAACCACATCAAAATTGCAACTAAACTACAGAAAAACTGACATTCAGAATCACCTGAAATCTAGTTGAACAGTCTTACAACTAAGGATATAAAGAAGAAGATACATCAAGACTGGTAGGAGGGGCAGAGATGCAGAACAGGCTGATCCCACAACACGTGTGGCCAATAAAAATCAGAAGGGATGCCCTAGCTTGTTTGGCTCAGTGGTTAGAGTGTCAGCCCGCGGACCAGGGAGTCCCACGTTTGATTCCTGCTAAGGGTACATACCTCAGTTGCAGTTATTCTCCAGCCCCAGTTGGGATTGTGCAGGTGGCAACCAGTCGATATGTCTCTCTCACGTCAGTGCTCTCTCTCTTCCTCCCTCTCTCCTTCCCACTTTAGCTGAAGATAAATGCAAAAATATCCTCAGGTGGGGATA